CGTATATGTGTGTGTGTGTGTGTGTGTGTGTGTGTGTGTGTGTGTGTGTGTGTGGAGCATTTTTTTTCATAAAAAAAAATGTAAATGATAAGTTTTGCAACATTCTGAGAAAATCACAACTTCTCATTACTGCTGAGCTATTTTAGAACGGTCCCTGGACTCCTCATGGTGCTCCTTGGTGCATGCTGTGCACACACACGTTTATATACACACACATACGCACATGCACACGCACACACACGCTATATGGGTCCACTGAAGTGACTGAAATGAATTGCTTCAAATATAATAGAACTGACTCTTCAAGTCTTTTTCATAATGTGGATGCCATTCAATCCGGAACATCGAAATGGGTCCAGTCCGTTTCTAATCCTCTTCCACGGTAAAAAGTGATTTAATGTGACGGCAAGCCTCTGAGATAATCTTAAAGGAAACAAAGTTCCCATTTTCATGGGGTGCAAGTCGAGACTTTGCGCGTACTCCGCGTCTTCGCGAAAATAACGCAGTCTGTGACCAAATCGGCCTCTTCATGATTAACACCACCCCCCTGCCTTTGGAGCTCGTTGAAAGGCGACATTGTTGCTTTAAGATTGTTGTCACAATCGCCGATGGCTCTGTCCATTGTCGGGGTGAGCTGGATTGATAACCGACTTGGCGGCGCATATCATCGGTGGAGCAGCTGCAGAGCACGACACAAACCCTCACGTTCTCAACGCATCTGGGCAGACATGGGTGAGACTACTTCACTACTACTTTAATAATCACTTCTGTTTGTTGCAACTGCACACTCGTAACTTGGTTTATAACTGGAGGGCCGTAGTGAACGTGAAATCGGTTTGCATCGGCCTTTTTAATGCTTTGGGTTAAGGTTCGTTTGTGTCACTGGTAATTAAAAAAACTAATTTAAATACAATATAATTGTCTGGAATTGGGGAGCTTTTACTGCGTCGTCGTCGTTCAATGACGTCACTAATTGTTTAATTGCCACACGCTGCCTGTTGATTCTTAAATCGGTTCTCGACTGTGGACCCATTTTGACGGGCCACAACATTCGCTACGCTTGTTGAAGGAATCCAAAAACAGAACCCCAAACATTTGCCTTTACAAGACTATCTATTGATAGTACCAACTGAAATAGGAAAAAAAAAACATTTGAAAAACATCTTTAAAAATTTGGAGATGAATCGCTTGGGTGTGAGGTGGAATTGTAACCATTGAAAAATCTCAATTATTGAAGGCCAGCTCATGTTTGATTGTGCAAGTGTGCCTAGTGCTGTGTGTGTGTGTGTGTGTGTGTGTGTGTGTGTGTGTGTGTGTGTGTGTGTGTGTGTGTGTGTGTGTGTGTGTGTTTTGATGCTCTCACCTGCCTCCCAATGGGTGTGGGTGAGGGACAAGTGAGGTGTTTTTGCTCGGAAAAGGTGTGAAATAACTGTGAACGCTGTCTGTCTCTTTCATTGCCTGGCTGTGATTTGCTTTGCAAGTTGTTCCGGCTCTCCACCAATAGCAAATGAGATTGGCTCGTGGCCATGTAACAGAGACATTTAATGGATGGTTGGGTGTGATTTTTCTACCTGCTTCTCTGCTGGTCTAATGTGGAAAAAAATTCAAGTGTACGTCTTCCCTATAGGGTGTAATTTGGAAAAGTGGGCCACTTTTGAGCAAAGCACGCATGCACAAATACACACTTGGACAGAACAGTAATGTCCTTGTGTTCTGTGCTTTATATGCTTGGCACCACTGCAATGCTACCAACCACAGTCTGTCATCCTGTGTACATATTCGCATGCAGTTTTGCTCTGGCATGCGTTCACATTGTTGTGTTGTTGGCTTTTCCATCCTTTTGCGGTCACATGACTGCTCGCCACCATCACACTTTCTCCTCTGAAGGAAGTCAATGAAAGTGTGCGTACGAGTCCCAAGCATCGAGGTGCCTCTGGCCTTTGTTTGGGGGACACTGGTAGCTCTTGTGCCCCCGCCACGGTGTGGGACAAAGACTGTTGTCTTTGCAGTCACAAAAGCGGAATGTCTCTTCGTCAACCTCCCCCTTTTTCTCACAGTCACCATGCAGCCTCATGAGTGGAGTCAGGGTGCGAGCTGGGGTCACATCAGAGGCATGCGCTTGACCACTGCCTCCATTCACGCAACACATGACTCGGAATGTGTAGCTTTCGAAAGTGAAGGCAAGTTTTTATGGCAGCAGATGGCTCTTGAGAGGGACCCATACTTAGAATAAATTAATGCAATATTTACCGATCATCACAATTGCAATATTCAATTATTTTGTTAGGTCCTTGTGTTTTTTTAATAAGTACAAGCATGTGTGTGTGTTAGGCTTGTGCTAAAATAAAGGCAAATGATCCATGAAATAATATCGACAGTTTATTTTTCTACTTCATTTGGAGTGGGACATCCAATGAGCAATTATTACAAATGAACTTTACCGTATTTGCCATCCTGCATCCACACACAGCTGGTTGATGTGTAAACATCGGAGCTATGTGTGTGTGTGTGTGTGTGTGTGTGTGTGTGTGTGTGTGTGTGTGTGTGTGTGTGTACAACCGATCAAAGTGAAATAAGCAGTTTTTAATCCCCCTCCCCCCTAAATTGCATTCTCCAACATTGTGATTTCGATTTGAATTTGATTACTTGTTCAGCCCTAATTTAGATAACATTTTAACCAAAAAGAATATTTTTGTTTTCATTGTCAATATGATAAATGTTGAAAGAATATCACAGACTAGAATATATTAAATTTGCTCAGCCCCAAAAAAAAACGGACTTTATTGTAACAGTAATTTAAAGCGAAGACGATCGCCGCATTGTGAAAACTGTTCTATTGAAATATTGAACATATATATTTCATTTTAGAAAAGTATCAGATCGTGATACGTGACCATGAATTATCATCGTATCTCTAATGAATACACATTTACATTGGATTCCAATACATATTACAGTGGTCCTCAAATTGTCAGGCACACCTCAACTGGAGGGCGCCAAGGGACTCCAGTGGAGAAATTAAGGTGAAAGTGTTTCGGCAAAAAAGAAAGAAGATTGCTGTTAGAAAACACCTGGAGTCACTCTCTTGAGAAACCAAAGACCAAGTCGGGCTACTGATGGACTCCTAATGCACTTTCAGAAATGATATCAATTCAATCACTAACACAGCCTTTTACCAGATGAATAACATATCCAGACTGAAAGCTTGCACACTTCAAGCAGACCAGGAGAAACATTTCCATGCTTTTATCTCCAGTAGACTTGATTATTATCATGGCCGTGTGCCTGAATTCCCTCAAAAGAGCGGCCGGCAAACAGCTGCAGCGCGCATTCATCACGCCGCAACTTGGGTTCTGACCAGGACAAAGAGATCAGAACATACTCCCAATCAACTGTCAGTCACGTGTCCCGATTTGACTTTATTTGCTTGCAGGTTGCTTTGAGTGCTGTATGCGTTGCCTGGGCGGGATACCGTACTGCTCTCTGGTCGCCACGCTGCTCTGCTTCTCTGGCATCGCCCTCTTCTGTGGATGCGGACACCAGGCGCTCACAGAGACCGAAAGGCTCATCGAAACCTACTTCGCCCGTAACATGCAGGATTACATCACCCTTGCTTACATGTGCGTATTACATTTAATAATGCAGTGATGGAAATTTGTCAATGTAATGGAATAGTTGGGAACAAATTATTGTTATCTACTTGCTAAAGGATTTGAAGAAAGCCTTTCCGAACATTCACAACTGCTTTTTGCATTTCAGCGAGGCTGTACAGGGGCTCAGGCGTTCCAAAATTTTTGTTGGGGACCCAAATGAATTAGATTGATTGGCTGGTTGTCAGACAAATATGCTTCAAAAAGACATTTGCTAAAAGAAAAAAAAAAGTCTTTTGGACTCACATTCAAATTCATTGGACGGATTCAAATTCATTAAATTCATTAATACGAATGGGCGAGTATTGATAGCAGGTATCATATCGGGCCTTAGTGTAAGGTATCGGGTAGTTGTGGATGCTGCGGATACCAGTCACTGATACTTGAGGTGAAAAAAAAAAAGTGACACTAACTAGTTGGCGCTATACTGCAGTAGTTTGAAACATCGGCAAACCATCCTCTTTCATCAGCAAGAAATGTCTTTCAAAAATAATACTGTCCTGCATTGGTACTTGGTATTGGGAAATACTTGTCATGGTATTGGTCTGAAAAAAAATGGTATCAACATACCTATTTGTGATCGTGTTACAGTGCTCATGCCTATGTTCTGACAACACATTTTAGTAACCAAATTTCAAATAAGTTAGATAGATGGGGTGTCTTTCATATTAATTCAGAGTCCATTTGACCTTACTTTAAAGGCATAGGCCTAACCGATAAAAACATTTTTGGACCATAAAACTGATACTGTTTATTGTTAGGCTTTAATTTATCGCTTGAGTTTTGTTAAAAATACATTCGAAGAGGACCTTGGAAAAAAATTAATTTCAATCGAAATACAGAGATAAAAGAAAATTATTTTTCAAAATCATTCCGCCCTATCTCTAATTAAATGTCTGAATTATGAAAGTCTGCATTTTTATCATTTTCTCTCTCTCTCTCGCTCTCTCTCGCTCTCTCTTGCTCTCTCTCAGCATTCAGTATTTCCAGTACGTCATCTATGGTTTGGCCTCATTTTTCTTCCTCTACTGCATCATGCTGCTGGCGGAAGGCTTCTACACCACCAGCGTCGCCAACCAAACCTTCGGGGAGTTCCGAAGCACGATGTGCGGCCGCTGCCTCAGTTCCACGGTACGACGGCCCGCAGCGCTTACGAGTAATGGGTATCGGGAAGATTGGATGGGGCTTAATACACATCAGTCCCGCTGGGTGCCCAAGCTGAAAATCCAGCATACTGTTAAAAAGCCCGTTGGGGAGGGTGCAAAGCATGTGTGAGTGATTGTGTCCAAGGAGGGTTAGGGAGGCATAAAGACATACTCAGCGATAATCGGAGAAGAGGTTCATGTGGTCACTAAATGAGGCACATCAAAGCACACTTGGAATTGCTCCCAGGCAAATGACGTTCTTCCTGCTTTCTCCCGTATAGTTTATAGTGATGACTTACGTGCTGTCTCTGCTGTGGCTCTTGGTGTTCGCCTTGTCCACTCTGCCCGTCTACTTCTTCTACAACATGGGGGCCACCTGCCGCACCATCGACGTCTTGACCGAGACCCCAGCGAGCATCAACCAGCTGTGTGTGGATGCACGGCAATATGGTAAAATTGTCATGCTTGTTCATTGCGTCTGCTGATATTCTCCAACAAATTGCACGGAAATCGGCATCAACTCATGGTCCAACAAGTAATGTACTCGTTACGGTTATTAATCTTGCCCCCCGCTCCCTAAAAAAAAAAAAAAGATGTTGGACAATGTCACACATGCTGTGCATCTATCCCCACCAAGGAGCTTTCATTGATATGCCAACATCTATTATTGACAGAATGATTACTTTATTTGAATTGGCCCAGTATTGATTGTTCCAACTATACTGTATGTACTCTTGAGGGCTTGGTGCACATGGTAATATAATTAATTAATGCCATCTGAGTAGATATTTCAATAAAATATTGTATTTACAAAAATGTTAGTTGGCAGGGAAAATATCAAATAAAACGTTTTTTTTTAAGAGGTGAAATTTAAATGAACGTCTTTGGGCCTGACCAACTGAATCGACTGGCTGGTGGCTGGTTGAATCGGTAGATATAAACTCTTTTCAAATTGGCAAACATTGACAGATTTTTGTTTTGATTAATTTTATCATTTATTTTACACATTAAGACAAATATGACAATCAAATCCCCCCTCAAATGTTGTCTGTTTTTTGCTGATTTTTTTTCTGTTTTGAAGTTAAACTACAAATTTGAAACAGTCAAATTTTATGCTTGTAATTAAGATTGTTAATGAATATTGTTGTATTAAGTGACCCCAAAATGATTTTATATCTATATGTGTGTGTGCGTGTATTTTATAATTAATCTATTTATTAATCGGTTATCAGAATTTTATTCTGACAAATATGGGAATCAGCACTGGCTTCAAAAAGTCCATGTCAGTCGGACCCTAGAAACTCTCCAGGTTGTATTCATTGTTACAAAGCAACTTAAAAGTTGAATTTGAATCTGGTTCATCATGTGTATTTGGTAGCTTTTTAAAACCTCAAAAAACATGTTCAACTTTCAAACAATACAGCACTATGGGGGGAAAAAAATCAGTACCTCTATAAAGGTGGTAATAGCCTCAATTTGGCTATTAAGTTTTCTTTCCTCAAACTCAGTGATTTTGCTCGTGAGCGGGGGAAAAAACCCAAAAATTAGTGGGGGGTCTGCTTTCTCTTTGAAAAGTCACTTCTATAGTGAAGCAGATTTGCTATCTCCCCTGCTGCTGTGGCATGAACAGGAAGCAAAAATAGCCGCCTTATTTTACAGCAGTTGCTCAAAACTCATGTTTTTGTTTTGTTTTGTTTTGTTTTGTTTTGTTTTTGGAGCTGTCAATGAGCATAAGCATTGGACCCAGGTCTGTGTTGTTTATGGGTATTTCATAGCCTGTGGAGGAATAGTGAGCCTGAAATCACACATCGTGCGGGTGATGAATGCATCCAATTGATTAGAGCGACTTGACGTCAACAGGGCTCCTGCCGTGGAACGCCGTGCCAGGAAAAGCTTGCGGAATAACTCTGTCCACCGTTTGCAAGACCAGAGAGGTAAGAGAGGCCAAAGATTGCGCTTTAAGCACACGTGTTCCGCAGACTCTCATACATATCCTCTCCTATCAGTACCGAATAACCTACGACCTCTACATCGCCGCCTTTGTCGGCGCAGGCATCACCCTCATGGCTCTGGTGAGTGATTATCCGTCCGTTGGGGTTATTTGGCCTGTGGCGGTATTTACGGCTCATGTGACTTGCGACGCCGCAAGCGGGGGCGACGAGGCATCCCGGGCCCGCATGACTGATGACTTTCAGCACTATCGCTCTCTGTTCCCCCGTTCTGTTCTCAGCTGGCACAAACATCATCATAGTGCTGTAATGTTTGCTGGTTTCCCAGTCGGGCAAATGGTGGGCCCATTATACTCCCGTGCCCCATTACATAGCCTATTACACGGGTGGGATCAAATTAATGTCATTAGCAGTTAATCATGTCTTTTGTTTTTCCTCTCTTCTAATGAGGGCCCCTCGCCCCCCCTCCCTGTCTGCTGTTCTTTTCTTCCAGCTGACCTATACGGTGTCAACCACCTATAACTTTGCGGTGCTGCGCAATCTGGGGAGGAAGGGCATAGGTGCACGGTGTTAGGCTCGCCAGCTAGCTTCCCGTCTGACCAACAGCACGGGGACTACAGTACAAGGAACTGCAACCATTTTCTTCCTTTTCATCACTTGTGCCTCCGTACACATCTTTTTGGGGTGTCTTTATGGCAACAGACTTTCAAAACTTTTTAGCTTTTTTTTCTCGTCTTACATCGTTAGGTTTTACTCTTCTATACAGGGTGAGGGGTGCTTCAGTTTCTGATGCCACGTAACTAAACAATTTTGACATTGATTGTAAGGTTATTTTTTTTTACTTTTGTTTTTAATGGATTGACACAACATTTTGGGTTACAGGGACTAGGTCAGCCTGCGAATGGTGAGAAATAAGTGTAATTGATGTGCATCGAAATCAGTGGGGGGTAAGATCAAAAGCAAAAAAAAGCAAAATATTTACCTTCACACTCCTTTATAATCATGAATTCAGTCATATTTTGACCAAAAACATTTTTTCCCTGAAACATCTCCAAATGCTGGCCACCTCTGCTAAAATCGAGTTAATCAGATCATTCAGTTCTATCCTTGAAATGAAATTATTCTTACATACTATATGTTGTAATCAGTATTTGGTTCGGGATCTTTTTTTTTTTTTGTGTTATCTGAAAAAAATCTAAAATCTGACTTATTTTAGAAAGGTGATGACATGAGGGTGGAATTGACGACTATGCGAATCCACAGGTGCCAAATTGCAAGTATGCATGTGGCGTCATTTAACACAAAAAGTTGGGTCAAAATATAAGCCACAAAATTGAGTTGTCAACTTTTTCGTCCCATATTGGGTTATTTTTGAGCCTGTGTCGAAAACAAACATTTTACTTCCCACCATTCTCAAAATGAGCTCAAAAAGAGGTCCTAAATTAACATGAACTCAATAGCCAATTTGCAACTCGTGCAGCGGACAATGAGGATTATGGGTAACCTTGGCTACCATTCCTCACATCTGGTTGCCAGGGTGGCAGCCCACCTCGAGCCTTTTCTCACGAGCGGCCCCGACAATGGAGTGGGCTCGTTGTGAAAAAGGGGCCAATGAGAAGTCAGTCTGGGGCTTCGCTGTCTCCACCGCGGGTCATGTGTCAAGGGGAAAGGGGCCTGTTTTCTAAAGCGCCAATGGAGCTCCTCCACGACTGAAACCGTGACCTCCACCTCCTGTTGAACAATGGAAATGATGGATTGTGACTGAGCTGGCTAAAGCAATTGTCGATGATTTTGTTGTTTCTTTCTCACAACAAAAGGACATTCTTGTTCAGTTTGATGGAGCATGGTCGAAGTGCTTAGCGAATAAGCTCCCTGGACTAAAATCACTTTTGGCGTGAGTCAGCCTTCAGTCGCGGTACAAAACATACGCTGCCCTACCACACTAATAATCAAATCAATCCAAACTAAGCATGGCTCTATTTTCCAAGTCCGAGTGTCTGCTGTAGCTCTTGCAATTACAGGCACTGGGCCAACATTAGGGCTGAACCATTTGGATAAATAACAAGGATCGACAGCAAATTTGAAGCACCGTTGGCTTAATGTGTCCCTCACCATATTTTTGACACTGAAATACTTTTTTCTCACACATCAGGTTTTTGAGATATCCTCACATTTTTGTTTTTAAGTTTGACTCATAAAAGCTTGCCCAAATAGGAATTTTCGCCATGTATTCTAATTTTCACCAAAAATATGCCATTTGTTGCTGAATCCTTCATTCGTAAATCTTACTAAATATATTACTATATTACTTATTATTATGATGAAAATATAATGAGCAAGAGGGGAAAAAATGACAAATTCGACAGGAGTGCAAAAAATTCATCAAAATGTACTTGTATCGCTGATTTAAAAAATGTTTAACCTGCGTAATCTAATTGCAAATGCTCTTTTTTCCAAGGTCTTTCTCCAATTTTCTTTTTTAACACGATCAACAATGAACAATATCAGTATTATTATACAAAAATGTATTGGTTTTATAAGTTACACTTATGTTAAAATAAAGTCAAATGAAACACCACTTAATACGAAAAACAGTTTATCAACTTGAGTTATTCTTAACTTAGCAAACGTGGACTTTCAGCCACCCAAAGACAACTTTACAAAATTCTCCCAAATAAACGCGGTATAAATGCAAGTCAGTCAATTGTAAATCAGTGGACAACCACAATGCAAACAAATCTTATCAGTCCAATTGATCAAGTTTCATAAAACAGGCAGATGTAAACATGTGGTCTGTACTTCCTAAGCACTGAACCAATAAATCAATATAAATAAATCAATGAAAAAAATATATAGTTGATCAGAATTATATTTGAATCTCCAAGTTGCAACCTAGCCTTTGCAATTCAAAAATTGCATTCTACGACAGCGCAATGTCGATTTGGATCGCATTCATTGTTCTGCCGTAATGGGCGTGGCAGGTAAACAAAAAAAATTGATATTCTCTGCCGTTCATCTATCAAGTTATGAATGACTCATTCTATTACATGACTAAGGTACTTTCAATTTGCATTGTCTTTTATTCTCGAGGAATTTTGTCGTAGTTATTGTATAACATGTCTTTTGACTTACTGAGGAAGTATTAACTTTTAGATTTTTTTTGTAAACTAGCACCATAGGTTTGTTTTTGGAGAACACTTTATCTGGTTGCTGGTAGAGCATTTGTCAAGTGGCATCTGGCTGTTTGTTTGTTTTTGTTTTTTTTTTTGGTTGGTGATATTTGATAATAAAAGGAAGAGTGCAGTTTTTTGCGCAGAGCGCCTGAAAGATTTATTCACCCTGCATAAACACTCCATCCTTGGCTTCGTGACATATTGCGTGATGCCGATGCAGTGTTTTGTCGGGCGTTTTGTATTCTCTCCTTTTGTCCTCAGGTGCACTCCTCCGTGCAGTTGGCCATGAACCAGGAGAACCTGGGGAGGCTGCGGCGCAGAGCCGAGAAGGGAGGCTACGACCTGTACAGCCAGCTGCTGCGGGATCGAGGAGGCACGCTTTGCTCCCCCTACCCTGCAAATTTATCCCACCGTTCCTGACAGGGTTTTCTATTGTAATTCGTCACAATCGTTACCCAAGATTCCCTTCATTATTTTATGTTTTCATGGGACATCGGCTATTTTGTGTTTGCGTACTGGGCTCGATGGTCCTGATCGCTTTTTGGCTTTGTTTGAACTGAGCAGCTATATGTTAGTATCTATCTATTGCAGCGGTGGGCAATCCCAGTCCTGGAGGGCCGCTATCCTGCATGTTTTCCATCTGTCCCTGTTGCAACACACCTGATTCAATTGTTCAGGCCTCGACAGAGCTTGCTGATGATCTGATCATTTGAATCAGGTGTGTTGGAGAAGGGACAGATGGAAAACATGCAGGATAGCGGCCCTCCAGGACTGGGATTGCCCACGCCTGATCTAGTGCCACTTTTCTGTTGGGTTCCTCGAACGTGCCCGTATTTGGTTCTTTCACAAAACAACGTGGGGAGAATTCCAATGTGTGTGGTGAATCCCACGTGTGAGTTTTAGGGAAGGGAAAAATAAAACTGCAATCATTCACTACAAGGACAATAGAATTGGGACACCTGTTCATTAACAGGTAGAGGAAAAAACGTGGATTTCACTGTACATTTAGCTAAAGCAAACAACATTGACTTTCATTGCACATTGCAACAGTAAAAATGATGGTGAACAGGGGGCTTCGAATCTAAAGTGGAAGATTAGATCCTAATCTAGGATCAGATGATTGATTGGTACGAATGTTTTGACTTAACCTTTACAATGTGTCAATTGAGTCAAACATTCCCTGAAAATGTATTTTAAAAAATGTGTAACCATTAATCAACAAGAAATCGATAATCGATGAGTCATATAAACACCTTCTTTAATTTAAAATTGCCCAAGTCTGATTTTCAGCCTCTCAATGGTAAATAGTCTCTGATTTCTGTTGCACTCCATGAAAGCAGACTGATTCTACTTGTGTCGAATCGAGGTAAAACATTTGCAAAGGTGTTTTTACTGGAAAAAAAGATCCACATTTTTGCCTTTTTTCTGACACATTATGGACCAAACTAGTAACTTGTGTATTTTTTGCTCTATTTGAAATAATGTCCCCTTTTGGTTTGAATATAGGGCCGAAAATTAAACTTTAAAAACCCAATTCAATGATTTATCAGCAAAATTACAGCTTCATCAATTACACAACAAATGTTTCTTAAAGGGAAAAAAAGATTTTTCTATGTGATTTTCTTGCTCTGCTTGCAAATATTCCCTTGTTTTTTTTCACCCTAATACATCAGGTCTTAATATTATGATTTATTAATTTTAGGGTCAGCAAGAGGTGGCATTTTTTTCTGAAACATCACAATTACAAATTACAATGTGGTAAAATTCATATTGCGCAAACTTTTATTGGTCATATTTAAAAAATATATATGTATATACATAAACCTGATGTGCTACAAAAAAAGGACATTTTAAATCAGCATCTAAAATAAATTTAGGGACACAAAGCCAATTGATTCAAATTTGCTGTTGACCAGTGTTATTAAAATACTCCTGAGTTAGACTCCTATAAAAATATTTATAATTATTTAGTCAAATGTCAATCGCTAAGGTATTTGTAAAAGAAGGCATAAGAGGCTTACAGTGCATTTTTCTTTCATTTGAGTCATAATGCATCATTCTGACAGTGCTGGTTGTTGCTGTAGGTGCAAAGCTTTCCAGGGAAACATTCAAATGATAAAGCGCAACGCAAAACGGATGCTTGCATCGTCGCGCACACACAAAGGACACAAAAAAGGTTGTGATACATTTGGTTTGTTTTATTTCGTATGCAAGCAAAGATAACCTATCTTAGCAAATATAGTGCAAAAAGTTTAGCGAGGGGAAGAAACTAGATGGTCAAAAAAAAAAAGTTGGGACATTCCAACTTTCACTGGTTGAAACCAAAATCACTGGCTGAGCTGAACAAAATGGACGTTCAGTGTCATTTGGGCAATTATGGTGAAATATGGGTCCCTTGTGCATTTGTTTCAGCCATTAACGGGGACAGCTCAAATTAGGTTTTACATTCATGAATATTACAGCAACATGTGAACACTGACATGGAATCATGATAAGTACAGTAGGTAATGTGATCAGTTTATGGATAACAGATTTTTGACTATTACAGATTTCAGGTAGACATTGTTAGGCTACATCCTTTTCGCAGGACAAACATTGATCGTTGAAATGACACAGGAAGGGCAAAAGCATTCTGTTTAAGTCAAAGAACATTAAGAGTTGATAAAACTTGATGAAACACAGTACAGGTATACACACTGTCGTACATTTGAGCTTAATAGAATCAAAAAGTTACTAAAAGCCTACTTGAAAATTAAAAAGTAAACAAGGCAGCACATAAATAGCCTGGGTTCAGTTTCACAGTGATGCTTACGCCGCGCGCGCGCACACACGCACGCACGCACGCACGCACGCGCACACGCACACACGCACACACACACACACACACACACACACACACTTTTTTTAGATGTTGAAGCTGGATGCCTAAAATTCAATCATTTTATTTCAGTTTTAAATGCATTGTGGTGTCTGCAAGTAAGCAAAATCATAAAAACTGGTATGGTATTTCTGCAATTAATTGCACAAACACTCTCTCAAACACATTGTTGGTTTATGACACTTAGATTTTAAGCAGTTAACACACAAGGCTGGCAGCATAAGAGAGCATGATAACATGGTAACACCACAAAAATAAATTAAGTTATTAAAACATGTATGATAAAATAATTTAAGGAACAATCAATATAATCATTTTTTTAATTTACTTTTTAAATATCCAAATAAACAATACCAAGACGGCAGTTGAAAAGACAAAAAAAAAGTACCAACTGTATATTCACATGTACTGCCTAGACACTGAAATGAAATGAGAGTACCATTTAGCAGAATCTAAGGAAAAATTACACAGTCAACACAATTAATACTTGAATAAATGGTTCACTCTTTCCTGTACGAATGGAGTTAAGAGGCGGTGTGCATTGCACAAGGCTTTATCTTTGTGCTCACATTCAACTGAGGTCTACATGTGTGTCAAACACAATCAGTGAAGCCAAAGAGACCTTAGGATAGCTTAAACAAAAAGGACTGCTTTGCTAAAGCTTGTCACATAATTAAAAAGGTAGAATTAAAAGCATGCCCTGATTAGGGAAATCGTTCAGTGCAATAATCATAACCACCTCTCCACATCAGGGAAACAAACCCATCTGTCCCTGATCCGATATTTCACAGTGTTTGCAAAACAATTAAGCCGCACACAACGAAATGGAGGGGAGCCTCACCGAGTGAGAAATAAACAGCAGCTTGGAAACAGTAGAAAAGGAAAGCTAATTCTGAAACACTGGCGCAAAATACAGTACGTGAATTATTGGAAAGGACAAAACATCTGAAGCTTTGGTTTCGGGTGGTTGTAAAAACGGCTTGGGGGAAGGAAACAAAGCTGACAATTCCCTTTCCATTGATGACAACATTACATAACAGAGCAGCGGCGATATACTGCTCGGTACCTATCGATGATGTTGTTCGTGCCTGGTTAGGGTTTCAAATACTCTTAGCTAAACAGTCATCAAGCCTTCTCTTGCTAGCAAAGAACACCGGCAGCTGAGAAAACGTCTGTTCATTTGTCTACCGAAAGGCCTGAATTTATTTCGAACAAAATACTGTGGAACCTCCATAGTCCAGCACGTGGTTTAATTTGGAGCGCAAAGAAAATTTTCCGGAAAAATATTGACATTGAACGTGAGATATAAACAAATCTCCTGAGATATCGGTTACTGAGTATCCAGAGGGATGACTGTCACTCCGTGTTGGACTTGTAATGGTACAACAAAAGGTTACCTACCGGTGATTGCCAAGAGAAATGTGATGATACTCACAGAGAAGAAGATTTTAACCGTGGCACAAAAAACTAGCTCACTACTCACTACATTGTGAAAAATACAATTTAAAAATCCCTCCCCCCTCCAAAAAAGATGCTAACATACTGTAAATAGCATGTAGCTGAAAGCATCATGGCTAAAGAAAAGTATTTTTTGCTATCTGTTACTCTCCATTATATGTCCGTGATGTAAATTTTACTTTAGTTTTTCTAAACAGTGGATAACTTGTCCACTAACTGTGGACTCACAGTTCTGAGGTTCTGGGTTTATATCTCAGCTCTGGCATTCATGTTGTGCAAGTTCGCATGTTCTCCTTGTAGTCAAACCTCGGTTTTCGTCCATAATCCGTTCCAGAAGGCTGTTCGAAAACCGAAATTGTTCGAAAACCGAAACCACGCTCTTTTTAAAATAAAAATGTTTACTGAACATGTCTGCTCACAACGGAAAGCAACACGAGGACGTGTCACTTCCTCTCTACCCGAGGAAGCGTCACTTCCTCGTGTAAGGAAGGCAAGAGGAGTCAAATGGTGCATTCAAGTGCGCTCAGTTTGTTCGAGAACCGAAATTTGTTTGTCATCCGAGGCATAGAAAACTCGAAATTTTTGGTCGAAAACCAAATTAGTCGAGAACCGAGACATTCGAAAACCGAGGTTTGGCTGTACTTCCTTCCATAAATGTTGACTTTTTGGTTAGCTTTATATCGTGATTGACTATGGACCACTCCGGGAAACAACCTGTCTCTGGTTTGAAGTCTGTTGGGCTCAGCTCTAGGTCATGAGCGAACTTAATGAGGACAAGCAGTCGTACAGCAAATGGATGAATGTATACAGTAGATAACTTGTCTATGAAAATTATTGCTGCCACACCAGGGGAAAAAAACCCCAAAACAATTTATGTTATGCATCTTCATAAACCTTCACATGGTTCGTGATTGAACAGAAGTGTTGGCAAATTGCTTTTCAGGGTGACTGTTTCTGGGCACGTCTTTCAACATTATTCTGGCGACGTCAGTCTCGTTTAACCCCAACTCATTGACAGGCTCGCCAACATACATGGACTTGCAATTAAAATACGTCACTGCGAGCAACATTCTTCCATTTTCGAAAACAATTTTGCATTCCGCTCGGTTGCTATCGCAGAATCATGCGACTGAATCCTGCCTGTTAATTCGCAAAATGAAGACTTATCACTTCCTCTTCTTTTGCTGTCAATGCACGCAGATTCACCGAATGAGGATTTCATCACTTCCTCCTGCTTTGCAGCCAATCAATGGACCCATTGTTTTTTGAGACAGTATTCACACTTGGTAATATAAAATTGCACGTTGTGAAAGTGACGATAATATTGACGACGATATGTATTGCCCACCCCCGTATGTAACTACTAATACTGTAACAAAAAAGGCCTCGCGTTTAAAATGATTTAAGATGATAAAAGAAGACACGCTCTGTTGTTGACATGAACCGAAAGTAATTGCTTTGTCTAACGTGATCAGTTATCATGTGAAACTTATCACTCATCATAAACGTGGCATTGAATTTGCTCTTTTTTGTGGTGTGTCAGCAATACGCTTCCGTGCTTCTCTCTAAACTTGTACGTTTGGAAAAAAAATGTAAATGTCACTTACAACTTGACCTGAAATTTAAGCAACTTGGAATTCAACTAGCATCACGGAGTGGATAGTGTTTGACTTTGGAGGTTCCACTGTAATTAGTTTGGAAGTATCACAGACGCGAAGTTGGGTATGAGGTTAAGTGTGCAACATGACTGGAAGCAGACAGCACAGGATGAGCGTTTCAGCGTGCGTGTACCTTGGCTGGGGGCCCTTTTGATAGCGGCTGTACCCTTGACACTGCTCTCCTCAGATTACATTTTATCAGCATCAATAAAAAACACAGCCTCCGCTGTATCTTATCTAAAGAATCTTAGAGCAACTGGTACCTGCCCTCTGTGAACCATAAACAACAACTCAGTAGCTTTCAAATCTACCCACAGGCAGTGAGGTTTCAAACCTGACCCGTCAGCAGCAGGACCGAGATATTTTGCGGTTACCATGGAGATCTATGGTCCCGCTCAGTATCGAGTGGTCGATATGTTCCTCAGCCGCCAGAACCTCCCTGACGGCCGCCTCGAACGCGGCCGTGACGTTCGTGTCATCCTTAGCGCTGGTCTCAAAGTAAGGAGAGCAGCCGCTCTCCTCGCACCAGGCCCGCGCTTCGTCCTCCCCTACTTCCCTCTGTTCAATGTCCACCTTGTTGCCCAGCACCACAAAAGGGAACCGTTCAGGATCTTTCACATCGGAGTAATACATGAACTCCTTCTTCCATCCGCCGAGGTTCTGGAAGCTCTGCAGGTCATTCACGGCGAACGTGAGCAGGCAGCAGTCGGCTCCTCTGTAGAATGGCGTGCGCAAGGACTTGAAGCGCTCCTGGCCGGCCGTGTCCCAAATTTGAAGGGTGACGAGGCGTCCGTCCACTTCCAGGTCCCTGTTGAGGAACTCGACACCGATGGTGTGGAACGACTGCGAGTCGAAGCGGTCGGTGACATAGCGGTTCATCAAGGAGGACTTGCCCACTCCTCCATCCCCGAGCAGGATCACCTTCAACAGGAGGCTCTTCCCGCTCATCATGCTCAGCCCTCCTCACTGGGTGGCACACAAGAGGGGCTCAATTCATCCTTAAAAGATTAATATTTGTGTTTTAATCAATTGAGCCTGATTGTAAAATTTATAACAACAGTACTGTAGGTGGTGGCAATGCCCATTTACAAAGTGGCTGACAGCTGCCAAGGAGGGAGAACATTTGTATGAAAGGTCTTTCCATAATGATAAAGTAATCCCCAATTTATCAGATTAAGCCCTAGGGTTGCAAAGGTCTAGAGAATTTTCAAAAAGTTTCAACTAAAGTTCAATGGGAAGCTTTTAGAAATATGCCAAACTGGAAACTTTCCATGGGAATTAACAAAGAGGGTCATTTAATTTTCCATGGGAATTAACTAAGAATTGACTGTCATTTAATGGAAATACTGTATACATCATATTTAATCCTAAAAAAAAAGAGCATTTTGTTTTGTAAGAAGCAAACACCCATTTAAACGAGACAGCTCTTCCTGCTAACGCGTGAGAACTACTTTACCTTGCCCCATCCATATGGATTATTTTTTTATGATGATATTTGGCATCGTAAAAGTCTGACAGCCGATTAATTGAGCAATTAAATACAAGATATAGGAGGAAATTAATTTTTTGGGTGCTTAAGGCTTACACGAACAGAGGTATGAATTACATGGCGAACATTTGACTGTTTTGCAATACTTTGTCCTTTAATATTTAACTACAACAGAGAGAAAAATTGGCCTGTTTTTTTGGTGTTAAATTGTAATCGGCTAATGTGTAAAAAATAAAATAAAAAATCAGTTTTAAAAAAAATCCTGATTTATGGCCATTCATGACAAAACGCCACATTGTAAACAACAGTAACTCTTGAAACAACCACAGCACATGCGCAGACATTTACCAGCTTGTCAAATGGAGCTTGAGGCTAATAGCTATCATGAGGAAGTGCTTTAATGACCGCACGAAACAATACGAACGGTAGCGTAAATATCAAGCGTACTGTGAAACACACAGTAAAGCGAAGCAGGCGTTTCAGGGAAAGCTCTTTTCCAACTAAGTTAGCAAGCAAGCCGGCTGCTGTGGTCGGTTTGTGGTTTGTTGACAATGCACCTTATCATGCTAGCTATTAGCAGCGGAGCATGAGCACTTCAAACAGTTAGAAAACGCTTGAAAAGCTACGGAAGTACGTGTTAAGGTCGTGCAGTTCTATATATTCATCTGAACGCATTTATTGCGAGTACTTACCCCGTCCTTGGAGTTTAATATTTTGCTGTTGCCCCAGTCCGAAACATCGGGCTGAGATTGATTGTAGTGACGTGTCATGTCCGTGCGTCCACATTGGGTAGGTGCAGGAACGGAAAACCACGAACCCCAGGATCTCAAAGCCCGTTAAATTATACGGCGGCGTCATATCCTCCTGACTACCAGTACTTCAAATTTGTCCTCTGTAGAGGACATTTGTGAACCTAAATATCTCCCACCCAGTGCCTCCAATCGCATTAACTCCTTTTGTTACTCTAAAGAGGACATTCAGTGCTTTCCAATGATACCAAATTTGTAGGGGTTAGAAAAAGTAAGAAAATGGCTTCCCTCAGTGCAAGCACTTTTTATGGGAAGAGGAAAAGTAATACTTTTTATCGACCACATTTTGTCTTGAAATGCTGTTGGCATTTTAATTATAAGACTCTTATGAACACGTTAAAGTGTTGTTTGAGTTGTGTATTTGAGCCTGTTTAAAAAATGTAGTGGGATTTCAAAAATTTATTTTGGTGGAGTCCAATTACTTCACATAGATTGGGGAATGTCAAAATAAATGTGATTGGACAACATTTTTTTTCCTGGTAGTCAGGAGGATAGTACAGAGGTCAAGGGTTCGAATCCGCGCTCCGAACTTTCTTGGGTGAAGTTTGCATGCTCTCCCCCGCACCTCCGTGGGTTATCTCCGGGTTTCCTCCCACATTCCAAAATTATAAATTAATAGGTTAATGGAAGACTATATTGTCCTCAAGTGTATTTGTGAGTGTGAATGGTCTCTGTGTGCCCTGCTATTGCCTGGCAATCAGGTCAAAGGGTGTATGTACCCTGCCTTCTGCATGAAGACTGCTGGGATACGCTCCAGCACACCTGCGATTCTCGTGAGGATAAGCAGTTCGGATAATGGATGGATGGATTTGTGGGACCCAAGGCAAACCAGCGCTACAGTAATCATTTTGATTACCAACTGTACAACTGTTATAGTATTGTATTCTACCACTGATCACTTTAGCTCTGCTTGATACTTTGCACATTGTCTCACAGTTGTCATTGGGTGGTACCACCGCACAACGGTTCACTTACATTACGGAATGTCCTTGCATACTTATTTGACATGTCCTTGTTTCTGATTATACTAGTGCAGCGTGTACTACCGGAGACAAATTCCAGGTGTGTTCTACATACTTGGCCAATAAAGATGATTCTGATTCTGATTATCAATGTTTTTCATCAACCAAAAAGTGTGAATTTTGGAAAATTCGCCTCCCGCTCTTTTCTGATTCATTTTCCTCACAACCTGTTTCGCTACCTTCTTTCTGAATCAAGTCTCCACATGCGGCGTAAGAAGCTGGACTGCACATGTATTAAGTGATTTATTATAAATAATAAAATGTATCAGTAAAATCAACAATTTTACATCTACATCTAACGTGCATAATGTATTTTGTTAAATAATTGCTTTTTATATTTTAAATAATCAAACAACAAAATTCTAGTAGTATAAGCAATTTTACAGATATATGTACTCATTGCCCATCTGAAATAATAATACATTTATTTATTCATTATTTTTTAAACATTATTTTTTAAGTTTATTTGTTTTAATAATTTATTTTATAGACAATGCCCC